TCAGTTCTTCTGTACGGATGAGAAACTTGGCCAGTGTGTCACAAAGAATATTTCCAACAGCCTGTTGCAGACCTTTATCAATCATCAACTGTCTTCGTTCTATACACAACATCAGATGGCCGGAAAGAATCACTAACAAGAAACTATGGGAACAAACAAAACAAGAACCAATCGCCCAACAAATATGCAGGCGAAAGTGGAGATGGATTGGACACCCACTGAGCTGAGGAGGCCGCTGGGTGACATCGAGCATCAGGCCATAGCTCGAGTGGAACCCAACAGGGAAGTGGCGAGTAGTGGGACGTCCAAGAGTGACATGGAGGAGATCGTGTGAAGAAGAGTTGAAACAGTATGGATTAACATAGATGCAAGTGAAAAGTATAGCGGAAGACAGAAGCAAGTGGAGACGTGCAGTTGAAGCCTTATGTTCCACTAGGAACCCAAGGGAACAATTATAATATTCACAATCTTCAATTATGCAACAGAGGATTATCTGTTATTAAGTCGAACCTGAATGACAACAACTCACCTTGAAAATTAAACTTTAATTACATGATAATTTTCTTTTTCTTTTACCTTTCTAATTACTATTCTATGATTTCAACATTTAAATTTACACTGACTCAAACTGATGCACTCTTTTAACTTTTCACTCAGTGTTCAATTTTATATCAATATGTATATATGACAACTACATGTGTGATTAGAATGTTTAAAATGTGTTTAGTTTGTTGAGTAGATTACACGTGTCAGATGAATTAAATCGTCTTAGTGTTTGTTCAGTCAAAGTCAATCATGCTATGATGCCTTGTCTAATTGCCTAGTCTCATATGACTCTGTATTCTTATCTCCTTTTGTCTGCAAATCATGTGAAATCATTGTGTTATTTATTTATTATCAATGTCTACAGAGAGATTTAAAAAAAATTAATCTTTTATTACATGACCAGTTTACATCAGGTCACAGTTTTGCTTTCTAATTCGATTCTTACACTCCAGTATTCGTCTTTCTATCGATAGATAATATAATTAGCTAATCATGAAGATTTGAGTGACTTTTTTTCTTATAGATTTGTTTACCGTTAATTTGTGTAATCTCTGACTTGCTAATGAACATATGCTATTTTTTATCTAGTACTTAATAGAATGTATTGTTGGCATAAGTTCGCCAGTGTAGACGTCTTAATCGTACGTGGTTTGATTTCAACTCATCGAAGAAGTGTGTGGTTCTTTGATTGGAGACTATCTGGTGTCATGTGTCTACTAGTCCTTTGTTGACTGAAGACTGAAATCTATCCGTCAAGTTTGCAATGTCATTCTGTATTGGCTTAATGACACGAGGTAATTTTATACTGCAGGGCATATTATTATTATTATTTTTATTATTGTTCCCTTGGGTTCCTAGTGGAACATAGGGCTTCAACTACACGTCTCCACTTGTTTCTGTCTTCTGCTGTACTTTTCAATTGCATCCATGTTATTCCATACTGTTTCAACTCTTCTTCACACGATCTCCTCCATGTCACTCTTGGACGTCCCACTACTCGCCACTTCCCTGTTGGGTTCCACTCGAGCTATGGCCTGATGCGCGATGTCACCCAGCGGCCTCCTCAGCTCAGCGAGTGTCCAATCCATCTCCACTTTCGCCTGCATATTTGTTGGGCGATTGGTTCTTGTTTTGTTTGTTCCCATAGTTTCTTGTTAGTGATTCTTTCCGGCCATCTGATGTTGTGTATAGAACGAAGACAGCTGTTGATAAAGGTCAGGTTGTTGGAAATATTCTTTGTGATCCGCCATGTTTCTGATCCGTATAGAAGTAGGGCATATACTGCTTTTAATTTTACATCAATGTTACAGTACATTTGAATTTAAGGACTGTAGATGTGACTTGTTGATAATCGGCAGCATGCATAGAACGTAGATCCAAAATCCCTCATCTTTTATCTTCATCCAAACATCTTGGATGTAATTTCTAGTCCATGTACACTTTATGCGAACTTTATTTATTATCTTAGCCTAGGGTGTTTTGATTTCAACTTACAAAACCAAGTGAACTAGATTGTCTGTAAGCCAACTGACACCAAAATACGTCTCACTGTAATGAGTATTGTTTTCTAGGATTTTAGCTGAATACTGTAGTGAATCTGAATCACGGGATATGAATATGTGGCTTTCTATGGTCGCCAACAAGCACAGAGAGTAGATCCACGATCTCCCACATATTATCTTATCCTAATATCTAGCATTTCATTGTTTGGTTTTCACACACTTATGGTGGACTGTGATTTTCTATGCAGCTGTGGATAATTCACACAACAAATGGATCGCATATGTATCCTCTACACACTGATTATCCGTCAGTTGACAATAAAAGTTTATTGTCGTCAGGAGTTTTCTATTTGGTAGAGTAAACTACGTTTTTATCTGGATTTAATATTTAACTACTGCATCACAAAATAGGTTGAATTTAATTCGGGATGCTTACATCAGTTCAAAGGATTTTAATATGGGATCTACGAAGCAATTGCACTTCATACAATAAACTATGACTATCAGATGTATCACACAGTAAAACAGTATTGTTCACCGGATGACACAGATTCGAACACATTTTATTACTATGCACAACCATATCATCAGTTATAATCACAAGACTTCGAAACTTCAGTTTGATAGTTTTCTTTCTTCTCTCCTATTTATCGTCGTTCGGGTAGTTGAATTTTCCAGATGTCCAACTGGACAGGTGGTGAATCATCCCTGTTACACGTATTTGTAGTTGATTTGATAAACAAACCTACAGTCAGTAATCAATCTCTCTCTCCACCCTATTGTATGGTTGAGTGTAAGTGCACGTAGTGAGTGCTATAGCTGAACTATTCTCTGGATTTCTTATCTTATTTAGGTCAACTAATCTAGATTTCAAAACAAGATTTTGAGAGAACAATTGTTTTCGATAACTTCTTCTTCAGGCTCTACAGTTATAAATCCATGAATAATAGGGTACATATAGCCAATAAAGGCAAATGAAAATAATATCTAGATTTCGCTTCTATGTTTTTATGCTCGGCTAGTCTGACTGCACCTGTTCTACTACTTCGACCTATGTATTTGACCTGACAATCAACGCAGGCAGGGTATTAGATACACTAAATTGTTTTGTTTAATTGGCTCCACAAGATTGTTCCTTCAACCGACAAAGCTTGTTTCTAGCTGAGTTTATGGGGGTTTTGAATGCCAGACACTTTGATTCCTGCCTTGTTAAGAATTCTGTGTAGCGTTTCCGAGGTTCCTTCCTTGTATGGAATTACTACTGATGATTTAGATTCCTCATTCTTGGTGTTGTCATTATCTTGTGCGTGTTTGTCATGCATGTCGTCATTAATATTATGCAATTACACACAATCATACAATAGGATGGATGAGATAAGATGACAGTTTCAAAATCTAATGTAACAGCTGGGTGGAGGGAGAGATTGATAACTGACTGAGGCTTTGTTTACCGAATCAACTGCAAATACGTGTAGTAGGAATGATTCAACACCTGTCCAGTAGGACATCTGGAAACTTCTGCTACCCGACTGACGATAAATAGGCGAGAACAGAGAAAACTGTCAAAATGAAGTTTCGAAGTCGTGTGATTCTAATTGATATGATTATGAACCACGATAAATTTTGTTCGAAACTGTATCATCCAGTAAATAATAATACTGTTTCACTGTGTGATATATCTTTATAAACGAACTAATATGGAATTACTTACTCCCACAGTGCCCAAGTTTTACACGTATATTAAGAACGATTCTAGTTTGAAATTATTCGAGAAGGAGATAGTGAGGCCTTTCTTTTAGTGTTATGTGGTAGAGATTGTGGTCATCTAACATCTTTGAGAAGAACATCCTTCACAGCAATAGTCTGCGGAAGCATTAAGGACAAGATCTCCCATCCAACCATTTCTGTGTGCCGATATCAGATCACCTGTTGCTATGGAGTCAGGTGCATTGGTCGTTCAACGCATATCCTATCCAAAAAGCGTTCAAGAACAATATCTCACATGGCTGCAAATAAAAGTAGTAGTAGCTGTATAAGGACTGCGACAGTCGACCACCTTGTCAACACTGGTCATTCCATTTCAATAAAAGTCTCCTCCTTCAAAGTGATCTACAAACTGAAGAATAACTCTACCAAAGGCGATACACATTCCTCTCCTCTGCATTTCTGAAGTCTTAGCCATTCAGTTGAGAAAAGCCAGAGTTATGCATAGAAGAGGAAATCATTCAACCACTTCTGCTATCATGGTTGTTGATTTCTACTGACTCGATGTTTATTCGCTTGTTTGTTTGTTGAGTTTTCCAACTCCTTATAACTCTTTTGTTTCTTTAGAACTCATCTTCGTAGAATTCAGTGTTTTCCTTCGCTTCTATGTGCATCCTGATCACAACTCACTCATTCAACTATTCGCCTGATTACGAAACTGCAATACACTTAGTCAACTTGTTCTGCGGATTGACTAAGATTTTGCAACTGTGGTGCTTTTTGACGACTCATCACCACTATCCTCTTACTAGTCTTCACGCCTCCTTCCTGTGAAGTTGTAATTTGCTTATTCATCACATTATTTGAAATATTTTGATGACGTAACCAGCAATTGTAACTAATTTTTCTTCTTATCTAACGAACCTAATGTACACACATACACACAAACACATAGAAGAATAATTATACATTATATACGACTGGACAGCTAAATGAGTAAATTCGCGCAGAAGAGACTCTTCGCTGGACTTCCTGTTTTGTTTTCATTAACGTCTACTGGTAACAAGTCTCAAGATTCTAATTTCAAAAAGGATTACTTCCAGTTTATTTTATTACTACTGTTATGGTTAGTTCATTAGTTTTCTGAAAATTCTCACTTATTATTGGTCAATTCTTCTTTATGACCTTAATCTAATACAGCAGTATAAATTTACCATTTTCTTCTCACTAATTAAAAACAAATGAAAATATGCTACCTCGAACAGATTCACTGATAACTACACTCCTTCTGATATTCATATCTCTACAGCACACTAAAGCTTATGTCGTCGCCAACAGTATCAATCAAACCAAAACAGGTAATCAGTCCAGGTTACTTGTTGGAGAATACACTTATTTGCAATGCTTAAGGATATACAGTGAAGCTAATTGTAATGGTTTTTGGTCTGATATGTGTAATTCTAATGAATTATTGTCACCATTTCAAATATGGACTACACTATCAATGTGTGCTCCACAAAATGTATGGTATAAACAAGCAAGATATTGGCTAGCATATGAGTAAGTTCATATTAGTTGGTTAGGCTTACTTAGATATTTAATATTCGGTAATAATTAATTGTCAAAAGTTTTTTTAACCATTCAGATATTTGGATTTATATGAAATGTTTACAGTTATTGGTCAGAGTTTAATGTTCAGTCAAAATCATTTCATTTCATGTGGATTTCGTCAGGACCCAATCGCTTCGTAACTTCTAAGCCCTGAGCCCCAATAGCCTCACCGGAAATCGGACCTAGGACCTTCAGGCTACGATGAAGAGCTGTCGACTATCTAGCCACTGCGTTTGTGAAAAAAAATCTACACTGAAATTAGTCGATGTGCCTAAAACATCGAAATTCTGAACACCAATCTCCAGCTCACATCAGTGACTACTTGGTGGATGTCCTGGAAATTCTAAGGAGAAGTCGTGATCTATAGAGTTCACCTTTTCAAGGTGAAATGAATGAACATTTATGGTATTGGTTAGCAGCAGAGTTATATAACGAATTCCTGGAGGTAAGGATTCATGGCTTATTAAATTCCAAACCATTTTGTTGAATAATAAAACGGCTGATCTCCTAGCCTGAAGGTCCTACATTCGATTCCCGGTTAGGGTCACCGGTTGGTATTGCTTAAGAATTCCAAACCAAGACGAAGGAACTATCAAGTGTTCCTTGGTTTTAGATGTTGCTCTGATTGATGCTGGTTCGTGATGGAATCTAGCCACTGAAATGAGTCAAAATTCCTACAAAATCGAACGTCTGAATTTCATTTTACTCATATTCAGAAGAATAGCCGCTAACTTATAAACTGTGTCATTTATATTTTAGCAGTCTGTGATGAATCACTGCTGTAACTGCAGAAGTGCTCTGTTAGTCAGACTATATCCAGTCATTTTCTACAGTCGTCCAGATGAGAAGCATTTCTGTAAAATGCTTTGCTGAGGGTTACATGTATTTCGGAAAATACATAAAGGGAACTCACCGGGATAATGTGACGACGCCTACTTAACTAGGTCCTTAGTTTACTAGATCGACTTAAAGCCCTGAAAAGAGTGAAAGTTAGGCGTGAGACTAGAGACTCTATAGCGGAAAAACCAACGGAAACTTCCAAGCTCAGGAAAAATTTGTTTAAAAAGTAGATACGCATATTCTTCAATGGAATCAGGGAGGTAGAACGACCCCGGCCTTAGAAATCTTTCGACAAACCGGTTGACCGATTCATTTTCTTTGGATAGAAGTAAAAGTAAGTATAGTGACCAAAAATATCTGCACCAATTTTAATACTGGTTTGCAAGACGTCTTGGGAATCTATGAAAGCGAATGGACTGGAAGTAAACTCTCAGAATTGTTAACTGGAGTGTCAGTAATCCACTCTAGTCACACAGACAATAGTTACAAGCACGCCGACAGAGTGGTTGTCATAATATCACTGACAGTGTTGAAGACCCCCATGATGTGAGAAACATTCGCCCACAGGATTATACAGCAAGGTTTAAATGAAAAAGCATAAAAGTTACAATTACCCAGTCCTATGCTCCTACATTGCACATAGTTTAGAAGAAGAAAGGAAAAGTATCCACCAGTTGGAACAAAGACCGACTTGTCAGACTGGGAAAGAAGGGCGACTTAAGCATATATTGCAAGAACTGTAGCGGATCCAGAGGTGAGAATAAAGGCCAATCACGTATGTGTTTCGAGGTTCAATCTCTGATTGAAACACTTCGAAACCTTGCATAGCTGGTGGTAAGCCAAGTGAGAACAGGAAAAAAAAGACACCACTGTTACCGACACTTCAAAGCCTGAAGCCCTGTGTTGCACTTGGAATAAAAACAAATTTTTTTATGAAATAAATTTTGCGCAGTATAATACTTTATATCTTTCTTCTACAGACAACCTGGATTCGTGGGTTCATATCTTTTCCTTAACCCTGGAGACTGCATAACTAATGTAAGGCAATATGGTTTAAGATCAATTGCTTCAATCCTTGAATGTGTACAACTCTCTCTATTTTCACCTTATCCATCTTTAACTTGTAATTATCCCCAACCCCCATGGAGACGATACTATATAAACACTAACACGGCGAATACAGGACAACAGCAACCACAAGCAAATTCACCTCAGTCACTACAAGAAAGTCAAAATGGACAATCGATGAGAGTGGTTAATTTGAATGATATATTTATGGGTAGTTTAAATGCTCCTGGAATGCAAAAACAGAAATAATAATAATAATTTTTGCATACTTCTCTCTGGTAAATGTGTATATTTTGTTTTTTAATAAATGTCTCTCTGTATAATATTAAATTCACTGATTTCCAATGAATAGCACTCAGGAAATTTGAAATTAGAAATATTAGAAAATGGTAGATATTATCTGAGAAAAACGTTTGTATTTTGGTCTGTCGGTCTGTTTCCGACATAGAACTTTGCACATATGTGCGGCAGTTCAAGTCGCCACAATCCATGTAGCACACAAAGCAAGAGAAGAAAGTAGGAGAAATGTATATTAGAGACAGTAAACAGAGGTGTGAGACAAAGGAATAGTAATAACGGAGAACAAAACAGTTTAGTTGGAAATCATAAGTCACAAGGAGTGGATGCATCTGCGCCACTGACAAGGATTTTCAGCCATGTCACCAATTGTTTCCAACCATTGGTTTTTACCGTCCCGAGTACCCCAACCAGGAAGTCTACACCTTCCTACGTGGCTTAAACCATCTGTTGTGGATTTGATTGACTGGTGCCATGTTTTCGTTTGACCGCCACTAGCCCTTTTTCAGCCTGGCCCTATATCAGCTAACATTGCCCGTTGTCGAGGAAGGCGATGACTAGGCATGCACATGTAACACGTATCCTAACCATCTCAGTCGATGTAATTTCACACTCTCGTCGACTGATTTCCCCTCCTTACCTACCACTCGACCGATGCCTAACCTCAATATTGCTCACCTTATTATACTATTTCATACGGGAGATAGAACGCAGACACCTATGATCAAAGAGAGCTAATCTTTTCATGTCTTCCACTCTCAATGGCCAGGTTTCACGTCTAGCCATAAAGGAGGACGGAGCGGACTGTTGAGCAGTACACACGCCCTTTGGTCGATAGTCGGATATCGCGTCTACGCCAGAGACGGTGTAAACTGGCATATGCGGAGCTAGCCCTCTGTATTTGTGCTGAGATTTCGTCGGAGATCAACCCGTTGGCACTGGCTGATGGTACTTCTCAAGTAAGTGAAGTGGTCAACGTGCTCTACCACTTCACTTCCTATTTATAATCTAGGGGTCGGGTTTGTATTTTGACTAAGTATAATAAAGATTGCAATACATCAGTAAAGATTTTTACTGAACTCGAAGAAACTTAAAAGTTGCAGCATTCTGATTAATGGAAACTGTAGTTATGAGAACTTAAAGTGTAATGTATGCTGGTATTAAACACAGTATGTTTTTAAAAACCAGAGATCTCTTTCCCAAAACTTTACTTTAAAGCTGTACAATAATTTAGTGGGTTTTTTATGTACACAATATTAACTGACAAAAGAGGCTGGAGGTTATGTTGTCAGTTACTACTAAAATAAATCAAAATTTTATTTTATTTTTGAATCGAGAAAGAATGAAGATATTTGCAGGATAATACGAGCTCGTTTTGTTTCGTGGATTCTCTCTCTTCAGCTGCGTACATCCTAAACAAAATCAATAATAAGTTACAAAATTTCTAAATGAAGCACTTTTTACAATGACTTCAAGTTATAGATAGAAAGTATGAGCAACATAATCCCAGGGATGATGTAGGCAGACAATTATTTGGTGTTAAAAGAGTAACTGCTTATATAGTAATTAGACAAGGAGGTACAGTTCAGAGTTTTTTTCTTGGAAACAAGGATGGACTAGAGACAAAATACAAGATTGAAAGACAGAGTGAATTTATAGATATTATGGTAGAGAGTTGTTAGTCACAAGGCAGAGTGGTAGGATGTTCGCCAGCTTCAAATATGGTTTCGGGTTCGATCCCCAGACGTTGCACTCCTTTACCTCGCTAAGCCAGTAATAAGACTGGTAAAAAGGGGAGGTTGGGTATGAGGCTAGCAACCGCATCCCGTAAAAATGAACACCATTGCTACCGAAACTTTAGAGCTCTACCTTGATTCCCTATGTTCCAATGGGAACGTAAAAGGTATATAAAAAAATGATAGAGAGTTCAGGGAGGTGGGGTGAACAGAAAAATAAAATTATAAAATAGATAAAATAATCCAATTTAGTAGATTCGTGAACTTAATTCAAACCAGTAAAAGGAACCGCCTATATGAAATGGATCAAAATGTATGAGTAATCACGATGTTTGCAAGAGTGAGAATAATCTTAAGTAATCAAGAGGATTGAAAACTATTTAATGAAGTGATGAATAATCAACTGATAAGAAACGAAAGAAGAACGGCATGAAAAAGGGTTACAAAGTTCCTCGAAATGACTACGTAGAGTTTATGCTACAGTCATCCTGGAAAACAATTTTACACTAAGACCACGGTAATGAAAGAGTCTAGTCAAAATGTTTTTGAACACGAAGTTCAGGTTTCTACCTGTGGATTGCGAAAGCACCAACTGCATGAAGGATGAGTAGGTCAAATCACTTTTGAAAGGCTTGGTTGTGCTTTTTGTATGATTAGGAATGTGAGACCAGAAATAATTATGTGCTTCAAAATCGAGAGATTCACTCTGTTCTGCGTTCTTATTTTGACAATCATGCTGGTAAGTGTTAATGGGCATGTCTAGAAAACGCCGTGCTGTTACTGCAAATTTACTTGACTTCACTGGAGCAGGTGAATTGGTAAATAATTTTTGACACTGCCAGTAGCAAGGTATTGTCTTTGACATTTTGGCGAATAAAAGCATGTGTGAATTAGGCGAGGTGTAAATATCAAGCAAAGAAGGTTCTTCGAATCGCTGTCCACAGACAGGTTTCGTTGCTAACTTATGTGTTCTCAGTTACATGATATGGGAGTGTTTCATACCTGAAAGCACACATGTTGTAACTGAGATGGTACTGGATCTACAGGCTAGTTCCGCGGTTACTTCAACACAACAACAATATACGAATGATTAATCAATTAATATTCGCACATTCGGATCCAAAAAGCTCGAGCTGCTTTCGCTAACTTACGCCATCTCTGGCATAGGCGTGACGTCCGGCTATCAATCAAGGGGCGTGTGTACTGCTCAACATTTCGCTCCGTCCTTCTCTATGGCTCTGAAACATGGCCAATATGAGGTGAGGACATGAAAAGGTTGACTGTTTTTGATCATAGATGTCTACGATCTCTTTCGCACGTCAGGTGGCATAATAAGGTAAGTAATGTGCAGGTTGGAAAAGAGTAAGTGGTGGCCAAACAAAAACATGGCATCAATCCATGAAATCCTTGACAGTTAAACTGAGTCAGGTAGGCAGATGCAGTCTTCCGGGTTGGTTGGGGCCCTCGGGACTCTAAGAATCAATGGCTGGAGATAATAGGTGACATGGCTCAAAATCGTTGTCAATGGCTCAGATGTATTCAGTCTCTGTAATCTTTCATATTCCTTTCTACCATTACTCATTCTGTTTCACTCTTATACTTGTTAAAACTCTACTAATTCTCTTCACTCATCTTCTTGTCTACCTTTGTGTGGTATTTGGAACGTGGCAACTCGAAGTGCTGCACTTCAGTGCCAAGTTCTATGTTGAATCCAGACAGACAGATTCGCACATTCACATGAAACCAAAAAATTTATCAGAAGGCAGATTATGTTTATCTGCGTATAAGGCAATAGCACTAGAAATTGCGGCTAATTATATATATTAAATCTACATAGTTAATAAATTACTGGCCTAATATATAAAACGATATTTTAACTAGTTAACATGCTCCAGTTAAAGATCGACTGACCTGACCCGTCATATATAGACAAGGATCAAATGTCTGATTTAAAGATCACGTAAACAATGAGTCATAACAATGTAAAGTTTATTCATTCTTAATGGGCTGAGTTTTCTTGCATTTCTTCAATATTTCTGTGTATTAGTCTCAGAAATGAGCTCTGAAATCTTCATACTTATAAATTATCATCCAATTCACAGTTTCCCCAGTCCGAGGGGAAATTTCACCACAGTTTGATGCAATAAATGCCGTTCACAATAAGACAGGCATGCATGCATGATGATGGTTCCTTGTTGGTGTTTTGATTCGACTTTAAACACATTTCGATGAAATTTTGGGGATAACCATTCTTTTTGAAGGACGTTTGTAGGTATTTTTCTTCCATTCTTTTCAACTCTGGAGTGCTACAATGTGTTTGAACTCTTTTAAACAATGTCTGCACACAGTTTCGTTTGTGAGTAATTGGATTATTGCTAGTATAGTTGAGTATTTGATCTGTGTGCGTTGATTTTCTATATACTTGTGTTTCTAAATCTCCTGATTAAGATTTTGTTATCTAGTTCTTCTTCTCTTGTGAATTTGATGTCTTCAAATATGTTCTTTATTAATTTATGGGTATATTCTAAATCATTTCTCTTAATTATTACAAATGTATCATGAACAAAACGTATCCAGATTTTCGGTTTAATTATAGGTAGAGCTATTAATTCTAATCTTTGCATAACGGTTTCAGCTATTAATCCTGAAATGGGCGATCCCATAGGTGTTCCTTTAATTTGTTCATATATTTGAGTATTGAATTGGAAGTATGTTGTAAGGCATAATTTTATGAGTTCTATCCAAGTTGAACATTGCGTTTTTATGTTTTCATCAATATAGAGTAACTGTTGCATAGTTTCTGTTGCTAGTTTTGGACTAATTGAAGTATATAATGTTGTGACATCGAAGGACACCATTATTTCATTGTCATCGACTTGAATGTTTTTGATTTTCTCTAAATATTGGATTGACGAATTGATAGAATGGTCGCATGATTCTGTTAGGTAATTTAATTTCCTGAAAAGTTCTTTAGATGGATTATATGTTGGTGTTCCTGTAAAGATGGTTACCAGGAGACGCAATTATATCACTCAGGAAGAAATTTAAATCATTTCACTTTACGCTCAATATTGCGCTGAAGATGTTGTCCAGAAGGACGACGTAAGCTCCGCAACCAAACCAACCAGCTCAGAGAACACTATTAGTTGCAAATCATCTACCTGAGCTTAAAATCTTCTTTATTATGCATGCATGATGCTGTATACTAACTACTAC